AGCGGTTCTTCTATCTGCCACTCAGTGCCCGATGCCTTTGGTATCGGGATTGACTTCACTGTCTCGTTCTCCCTCCTGGGTTCGTCTACCTTCGGAGCTTCTTCTTCCGGGGCAATCGTCTGTCGCTCGCCGGTACAATCCTGGCCAAGGGTGCGGTTTTCGGGGGTATCAACCTTCTGTTGTACCGGTTTATCCGCACTGCCCGATGCCTCTGGTATCGGGATTGACTTTACTTTCCCGTTTACCTTACAGGCTTTATCTTCCTTCCGGTCTTGCTTTGCTGCCGCAGCCTTCTGTCAGGGGGGATACGGTTCTCACCGGTGTGCGCACTCCGGTTCACCCGTTTTTCCACTCTGCCCGATGCCTCTCGTATCGGGATTGGCTTTACTACCGGGTTAGGCAGTTGAGGTGTCCGGTCAGCCGGAGGGTCCGTTGGGACTCTGCTTGTCGACCGGAGGTTCCTTTGCAGCAGCTCCCCTATATTGTATTGCTCCGGTGTTTCTTGCCCGAAGCGGTACGTCCGTCAGCTAATCTCCGCTATGGCGTTGGCCTGCTTGTCACTCTCCGCAAACCGGTCCGTGAAATTATCCAACCATTCGTTGACGGTCCAGCCTTCTTCAGGCTCGAAGGTCAATTGGTTTTCAAACCATTCGAGAGCCGGGCCGGAGAGGACATTTTCCAACGCGGTCGTGAAGTTCACGTCTGGTTCGTTCAGGTCACCGTCCGGTCCGTAGATCCGTGGGATGGTTTTAACTCATCTGTCCAGGCTTCTACAGACCCCGTCGAACTTCGGTAACTGGGGTCGGTTGCTACGGTCGATCGACCGAAGCAATCTCTCTTCACGATCCCGCGCATTCCGTAGGGCTGCTGGGATCCGCTCAAGAGGGCTACCTGGCAGGTCTACCGGGATGAGCTGCGGTTGCGCTGCCGGGTAGCCCTGCTGGGCCACCGGGATCAGCAGGGGTTGAGTCGGCTGTGGTTGAACCTGATGTTGAACCGGGTATTGAGCCGGATGGTTGCCCTGTGTGTCGGGTAAACCAGGCGGGTCGACCAAGTTGGGTCGATCTCCCGGTGCCAATGGTCTCGAATGCTCCGGCGGAGCCGCATTTTGCGGCACATGTCCGGCAGCCAGAGGGCGAGGGTTAGCGTCTGCCCGAATCAGCTGATTCTGCAGTCGCAGATAGCTGCAGGCTCTAGCGAAGCCTTCTGGGGTCGGGCTGGACATAGATTAACCCATTTAGGGTAAGAAGGCGGTTCCTCTATAGTTCCAATGGTTCCACGAGTTCCACGGGTTCCATAATGTACATTGGTTTCACACGTTCCACTGGTTCCATAAGTTCCACCCAGTCCAACTATCTACGCTACATCCGACGAAACCGCAGCAAAAGTTCTTGTTACGTCTCCATATGGTACCAATGGAACGTATGGAACTCTATTGGAACCCATTGGAACAATCGGAACTACTCTACATTTCTCATTGCGCCCTTTACGCGACACATGGAACCTATGGAACTCTATTGCAATCCACTGGAACGTATTTACAATGTTTCCTTTGGTTCCAATGGGTTCCAATGGAGTTACATAGGTTCCATTGGTATCACATATCTGTCATAGTGCAGTGAGACGATGTACAGACGATTACGACGACGAGACTGTTCTTCCAACAGTTCCATTGGGTTACAGTAGAGTTCCACAGGTTCCATTGGTATCAGACCAGTGCGCAGTGAGAGATGTACACTAGTTCCAACAGTTCCAGTGGGTTCCAGTAGAGTTCTATTATTTCCATTGGTATCTCTTGAGGGCACAACGACTTTTTGTGTTCCGACTATAACGACCGGTACAGGGAAACAACGTCTTAATTACCCTAAACGGGTTAAACTCTCGGAGAGGAGAGGAGAGGGCTGGATGATGATGACTTCGAGTGATGATCCGCTAACTGGTCGCGACCCTCAATTACACCTATTTGGGTCATATTTAGGGTCTGTTGCGGCAGAACGTGCCTCGGTTGCTGGTCCAGCAGCATCCTCGAGGGTCGGTTCTGATTGGGACCCGCAGGATGGGGTCCGGTAACCTCATTCTGGTGTGCAGACACGATGACTGCCGGGTGATAAGGCTGTGGTGACACTGGCTCCGGCACAGGCTGCTGCTGCTCCAAGTTGCAGATCCGCCGGTGTAGGGCTTCCATGTCCTGCCTGGCAGCCCTCTGCAAGTTGCCTAGGTTCCGCTGCAGGGTGCCAAGGGCATGCTGGGTTTCATTCTGTAGGGTGCAGAGGGCATGCCGGATTTCCGTGTGCTCCCGCTGAAGTGTACCAACAGCCTGCAGGGTCCCCGTCTGGTTCTTCTGCAAAGTACCGACGGCTTACAGGGTCTCCGTCTGATTCTGTTGCAAAGTGCCGAGGTTCTGCTGCATGGTGCCGAGGCTCTGCTGCAATGCCCCGACGGAATGTACGGTCTCCGACTGTTGTTGCAGGGTCTCTGCAGAGTTCCTTTGCAGCTGTCCGAGGAGGCCAGCGATCTGCTGGAGAAGCGGCGGATTCTGTTCGCGCCCTTCTGACGGGTTGGCTCGACAGTCCACCGGGGTTGCGTACCGAGGGTCCCACTGAGGTGAAGCCCCGAGGCCGAAAAGGGGGACATTCTGTCCCGGTAAAGAGGTTGCCTGTACCTCCACTAGCCTGATTGGGCCCGTGGAAGGTACATTACGGCGAGCAGGACTAACATGGTGAGGGTCGTAACCCCCGGTCTTCATCGGTTCCAGTGGAGTCTCGTTACTGTGTTTGGTGCGGTACAGGGAATCAATCACATAAATACCCTAAACGGGTTATACTCTCTAACAGGGTTTTTGTCTGGACAGAACATCCAGCACATTGGGTAACCACGATTTGCCAAGGCAACCGAGGCATCGAACTTTGACTGCCAAGGCCGACACTGCCAAAACATCGGACTTGAACTCACCAAAAGAGGACAAACCCCGAATACCGAGGCTACCCTCGGTGTGGACCCTTGAAGCCCGGCTTCACCAGATTTACGTTACCCAATAGGTGACTGGACACGATATCACCGGTTTTGCTCGGACGAAAACCTCGAACCACAGAGAAAGAACCCTTCGGAGCCGACCAGACAGGGATCGGACTCCCACTCAGAGGCATTACCCAGTCTATAGTGCCCAGTAAGCGATTAGACACTAACTTGAAGGGTTTGCCCGAATGAAGACCTTGAAACATTGGAGCCAACCGGACGCAAAGCTTGGACTGCCAAGTCACTTATGAAAACAGATCCAATCAGGTGCAAAATCAGCACCTTAACCATCAAGAAGTTGTTTATACTGCACTGTGCAGTTCAAAGCACGCTGAATCACCCCTTCAACCTTCAAAGCCCGACATTGACCGGCCCAGGTGCCCAATAGGAGACAGGACGCGAAACAGCCGTTTTTGTCCAGACGAAATTCCGGAATACCGGTATTTTACCGGAGGATCACCCATCAGAGACCCAATAGGTCTTATTTCCATCCGAGAGAGGATGCCTAATGGCTTTCGCGGATCGCGACGGTGCATCTTTATTCAGCTGACCCTATGAACCTCGGCTACTGAGGTTCCATTCAACTTTAACCGGAGGATCCCGGGTTGGAAATTGAGTTTCACGCCCGTTTCTCACCCGGCTTAAGGAGATCCAGTCTCGCGCCCGTTTCTTACCCGACCCTCTGTGACGTGAACCGGTACCACCGGCTATCCCGAGAACCGATGCCTCGCACCCGGATGGAGAGTTTAACCCGTTTAGGGTAACTAAGACATTGCTTCCCTGTACCTTCCCTTAAAAGCGAAAACAAAGATTTCGAATATTTAGACGCTGCAACAGCCTGTGATACCAATGGACCATATGGAACTCTATTGGAACTTATTGGAACTGTTGGAACTACTGTACATCGTTTAATTGCGAACTAACGTGACACCAGTGGAACCTATGGAACTCTATTGGAACTTATTGGAACTGTTGGAACTACTTTTACACCGTTCAATTGCGACCTGGTGTGACACCAGTGGAACCTATGGAACTCTATTGGAACTTATTGGAACTGTTGGAACTACTTTTACACCGTTCAATTGCGATCTGGTGTGAAACCAGTGGAACCTATGGAACTATATTGGAACTTATTGGAACTGTTGGAACTACTGTACATTGTTCAATTGCGCCCTGGTGTGACACCAGTGAAACCTATGGAACTCTATTGGAACTTATTGGAACTGTTGGAACTACTTTACACCGTTCAATTGCGACCTGGTGTGACACCAGTGGAACCTATGGAACTCTATTGGAACTTATTGGAACTGTTGGAACTACTGTACATTGTTCAATTGCGCCCTGGTGTGACACCAGTGGAACCTATGGAACTCTATTGGAACTTATTGGAACTGTTGGAACTACTTTTACACCGTTCAGTTGCGACCTGGTGTGACACCAGTGGAACCTATGGAACTCTATTGGAACTTATTGGAACTGTTGGAACTACTTTTACACCGTTCAATTGCGATCTGGTGTGAAACCAGTGGAACCTATGGAACTCTATTGGAACTTATTGGAACTGATGGAACTACTGTACATCGTTTAATTGCGCCCTGATGTGACACCTGTGAAACCAATGGAACTCTATTGGAACTTATTGGAACTGATGGAACTACTGTACATCGTTTAATTGCGACCTAATGTGACACCAGTGGAACCTATGGAACTCTATTGGAACTTATTGGAACTGTTGGAACTACTGTACATCGTTTAATTCCGACCTGATTTAACATCACTGGAACCTATGGAACCCGTTGGAACTGTTAAAATTTCTGAAACTAACAGCACTGCGCCCTTTTGTGATACCAAGGGGAAGCATCGAATGCTGTTAGAACTCATTGAAAATAATATCAGTATTTACTAGGTTTCTAATTATGTTTCTAATATTTTAGTAGCTAACGCTACTAGAAAATACCGGTGATGCTCAAGCTGATATCATTAGGAAAGGTTTTACGACATTTTATGCCTAATTAATTCGGTAAAATGGGAAAACACAGAAGCACTGCAGAAAATCAAATCTATAATTTAGAGCATTTTAGCTAAGCATATGAAGAGCTAACTGCAAAAATCGATATTTCATAATTAATCGATAATTAATCGATAATTATTAGTAATTAGTTTTTATCGCTTAGAACAGTACGGACAATTCCAAGGTTTCTGTTTTGGTGGTGGTTTTCCTGATCGGGTAACACGAGGTGACACATACGATGCGCACATATGATGGAACGCATGTTGGCAGACTGTGCAGCGCAACCACGGTTTATCTTTGTTGTCCGGAATAAGAGCCGCATAACACTTCCCGCATTTTATGATCTTGTTGGATTCGCTTACATTGGTGTCGTCTTGGCTGAGTTTTCCGAAACGATGATGAATGGCACGTTTTGTAGCTTCGGGATCATCTGCATTAAACTTCCGTGAGTTTCAGGTCGAAGGTTTATAGTTATGTACAGTTTGCTTCACTAGCAAGTCATTACGATTCACCTTCAGAAACAACGGAAGCGGAAAATGATCGAATTTTGTTTCCTGTGTGGCCTCTATCTGCAGCGTAACGTAACATTATAAAATTTCGAAGAAACTTAAATACAAGCTCGATTTATAGTTTCTAGTTAAACTCTACCTTTTACAGTCATTTTCTTTGGAGTGCTGCTAGATAGTGGTGAGAAGTCACTGTCGTTAGCTGGAAGTGACTGATCCATGTTAGCATTTTGCGTTCCAGATTCAGTAGCTTCCATGGCGCTGCTTTTGCGCTTTCCCATGCCGCTGGACGTTTGCGAAGCTAAATCCACAATTAAAAGTACAAGGAGGATTGGTGTTGAGTCGGCAATGAATTTATCGCTTAAAGTTAGACTGATCTCCCAATCCACTGGAGTCTTATTAAGCCGTCAACCGTGGATGGTTGCCTTTCCTAGCATGCGCAACCGCCAACCGAGGTATGATGGTAGCCAGGTAGCGTCATGTAATATACTGCAGCTGGCATATTACGGAGCTGTTGATTAGTGCAGCCAATTACGGTTGACGGCCAAATCAGCCTCCAGTGGATTGGGTGTTCATACTAACTTTAGGCGATAAATTCGCTGCAGACTCAACACCAAGGTGGAGCTGCTGTATCGCAACGAGATTCGCTTCGAATTCAGGACAAGGCCTAAGTGTACACCGGTCTTACCATCCAAATGTGGCCTCGCTTTACATGTTGCAGCAGCAGGATTACCGGCCAAGCTCACCTCGGGCGCTTCGTCTAAAGAAACTTGCAAAGCACCGACGATACCATCAATCTTTGCAAGTTGCTCTGAAGTAAAGTGCTCGCGTGGCAAAATTAAGGAACGCCTCCGCACACCCTTCAGATTCACTTGGTGCTGCTTGTCTGCCCAAGCAATCTGGTCAATGCACCAGCGATTTTGTTGCAACGGGTCCTCTTTTGTTGCATCAAGGAACAAGTCCTTCCGAACAGCCAAACAAAGCACGTCTTCCGCAATATCTTCAAACTTCACCGAGAGAACGTTCTTAAAAAACGTATTCATCTGAAAGAATATATCGTCAAATTTGTATAATGAATTCGAGAACTAGATAATTAATTTTGTTGTACTGTAGTACATAAAGGGCGTTTTATTAGGCATTGCCATCTAAATATAACAAAGTGCAAAGCGTAAGTACACTACTTTACCGTACAGACTAAATCACATTTGTAGTATTTAGATAAGATTTTTTAGCCTGGTGTCAGTTTCGATAATTTGTGTCACATGTTCTGTGAGCAGTTTACTTGACGAAATACATCGTTGAGCAACTTACCTTTTCGGCATGAGTTGTCTTGCGTAGTGCTTCTATCAGTTGAGCAAAACTTTCTTTGGCCAAGCAGTTGCTTCGGTCGGGAAGTAAAGATAGCGTTGTACGCGCGGTCAAACCATTGCGCGGTAAAGTTTGATATGGCGGGGCTTTTAAAACATGCCGTAGCAGGCACTGGAGAGCTTCTTCTTGGTCGTACTCGCAAGCAACTTTACGGGCAATCTGCAGAAATATTTAAGAAAAACATAATGGATGCAGAGTCATCTAGCGCTATGGAAATAACGTTGTATAGTACCATATCCCCAACAGACGACAGTATAGAGTATAAGGTTGCAATTCGGTGAGTGCAGCTAACCATCCCCGCTGATAATAGTTTTGGTTTGATGATTTCGTATTTGTCATTAACCGCATTAGTCAGTTCACGGCATCCTTCTTCGCCAAAATGAAGCAGTTTCCGAACATCTTTGGATGCACGTTGCTGCGCTTGCTCCAGAAGTGTGAAAACAGTGTTATCGATGTCGGTTATCTCGTTATCCATGGTCAAAATAGCTACCCGACTCAATGTCCGCATTCTGTAAAAATCTCAGGTTTTCGTGCGTGATGGCACAATCAAATAGATTACAGAGCTTAAAGAGCGAAATTTATTGAGACTGACTTGTCTTTAGTTGCGGCAGCGATATCATCCAGGCCATCGGAATTCATGGTAAGCGCACAAGACGAAGTAGGATGCACACCACCGCTGTTTTTGTTGCGATAGTTTAGATATAGTTTTCTTTCGTACACGCATCCAAATATACGTGGCATTAGCTTAGGAAATGGATTATCGTGGATTATTAAAGGAACGTGCAATTTTGTCCAGCGATCAAGGCCTGCGGAATCAGTTATTTCTCCTAAATTGCAAATGTCTTCCATATTTGTCCCGAAAATTGACAAGCTCAGATTCAGAAGGAGCGTTTTCCACGTGTCTGGGAGTCCGACTACGATCAAGCTTGGCAAACCTTTGAAGTGCCTGATCAGGACTCCGTAAAACATGCTGATCCAAGAATGTGCTAAAATTATTTCCAATATTCAAACTTATACAAATTCAATTTAAAAGTATTTCTGTTTTTAGACAACCAATACAAATGATTAAAGTAAATTCTGGTGGACGCGATATCAGTTGATATGGTTACAATAATATCTTTTATAACAGTGATAAATATTTCACTCACCACACATTAGTACGAAGGTGTAGTAGACATCTAATGGCAAATGTTGTCTTATAATGGCAAACAGTCTGGCCTTCTTTTTTCCTTGATAGACCTCGACAGTGCGGGAATTAAAACGGATGACAAAGGTGTCCACACATATGCACATTTATCGGTGTCGGCTAACACCATTCCACCCTCAAAAGGGACGAAAATTATGTCCGGACCAAAACGAAAGTAACACCGTCTTCTTGCAGTCCCAGGTGCGAAACCGCTTGCCGCTTTAGCGGAATTTCTTTGTCTTCGCATTTCCTGTAAGAAATGAAAAACATGCATACATGTGCGTTGCGTCCTCACAATTGGGTGCTTCATTGCGTCCAGTCCTTACATGTATACTAGTACTTCTGTGTAGCTACATAATAACATCACAAAAGCACTTGATCCATTATTATTAGTATACTTTCTGTTGTGTTTTTTTATATACAGCTTTCTTATGTAGTTTTTCAATATATTTTACGTACTCAATATACCGTTGGTGATACCACTCCCCTAACTTGGCGAGAACCTTGTTGCTCATGTTGGAAAACGCGGACGAGCCGCCTTTGATATGCAGATCCGAGGAGAAATCTTTAAAATTGTTCCACGACTTGCTACGAATGTAAACCTTCCTGCAAACCAGAATTGGCCGATATACACAAAATATAAGTACATGATCGTCTAAAGCTTATAAAAGGCCATTTAGGTTCGCCGCCGTTATCGTTACAGTATCAGTTTTAAAAGTCTGAGGGTTACGGTACGAGCTGCGCTATTCTTGTATGTAAACCGAGTTGCAAGTTATAGCGCGAGTTTAAGCTACCGTAGAATCGTAGATACCATACAATAGTGCATATAATATAATAAATAAATCTGTACCTCGTGCAGCTGTCGTCCTGCAGTTCAAACAGCGTTCCAGATTCTGTTGTTTTTCCTTCCACTTCTGCAATGGGCGTTAACACAAATGCCATAATCCAGTCGTCCACTGCTCGTTTTTCCTTCTTTTTAAAATAATAGGTACGACCATCCTTATCTTTAAACCGGTATTCAGCTGCCGTGAACTGTAATAAAGCGCTACTCTATAATCGGCTAAATTCCTGCAGTTATTAGTAGACTGTGCACAAACACGCATAAGCTACTTACACAAAACGAATCTGAAGCCGATTGGTTAGACATTAGAAAGTATCTGTAAGCCTGTTCACAGGATGCAAAAGCCAAATTACAAATGCCAGCAACTTCCTTAATTATTTAATTAGAATGCGTTTGTCAAAAACTTGCTGTTTCCAAAGGATTACAATTTACGGCTCATTTTATTGGCACGTTCCCACAAAAAAAATTCAGGGTTGGATACAGTTTACTGTGTTTCAGCCTGGTTATTTGTACAAGAAGTACGTTTAATCACTTTAATGACAAATTATATGTTGACTAAGCTGGTACTGCATTGATTACAGTAATAGTATTACGTATACCTAATCTAATGAACGATCTATGGGTGCATACTGCCTTTGTAGCTGTGATTTCATGGCCAGTCGATGAGTTTGGCGCTCGCTGTGCAGTGAAAGTGCAGTCAGCCTTACCTCCCAATGATGATTGGACTTTTGGGTGAAGTACTGACTAAAAGGTGAGCACAATTCTCCACATAGGGCTGTTTATGTGGGCAACAGTGTGGCACAGGTCGCTGCTGGAATATATAGTCTGTCCTTTAGTGCTCTTTATACAGCAGTATCACATGAGCAGCTACTTATACAGCAGTATAACTTGAGCAGTTCAACAGTTTCTGCCCGACGTTTAATAAGTCCTCAAGAGCTTTATCGGTAAAATCAGGAAAATTACGTGACCTTAATTTATGCAGTGTGTCTCGAACGTTTTGCTATGGAAAAAAATTATTTTGACAGTAATGGTATTTACTGTTTAATCAGAACGTACAAGTGCATTTGATAGATATGAACTGCTTCTGTAGATAAAGTGAAAATCATGACATACGAAGAGCAGAACGGTTCTTTAAGATTATTCCTCAGCAAGTATTCACTGGACGAAATCCTGAAGTTGTGCACCGTTTGCACAGCAAACCGATCACTGGACATTATGGATACGGTTCTTTTGGAAGTATGCCAAAATGTGTGATGTATCTACATATTTTTTGAAATATTAGTTAGCTATTGCTTTTAATTAACTACTGCAATATCATTGTAATAAATGATATACTGCATGTAGGAACTTGCACACCGTGTACAGCTGGCACCTGATCGGCTTAGAGATATGTATATCCACGTGATGAACGAAGCGCCGTCTCTCCTTGATTTGATTTCGCCATCGGATCCAAGGAGTATCGTTGTAATTACTCCTCCAGTGAAAACGTGCACGGAAGGCTGCGTGTACCAGAGGGGCTCTAAAACAGGTCTACCTTTGGAACTCGGTCTTCATAATAAGCCAGCTTGGGTAAATATATACCTTTACGTAGTCACAGTTACTAACAACTCGTTAGTTATATTTCTTGTTCAGTGAACTGTCTACTGTCTTGAGTACACACACTTTTACGTTAATTTCAATCGGTATTTATTAGTTATTATTAACTGCTTTGAAATACAACTGAATATTGCGGCAAAATACAGTACCCGAAGCATTTTTCAGGGCACACTGCACGACATTAACGGAATGAGCCGATCTTTCGTTCGCCTATCGTATAGATGTCCAACCTGCCGTAGTATATACAAGTACGACATGTTTCAATCCAAAAGGATGGCAAATACCGCTTTGCGAGCACGAACGAACGCATGTGCGCGTGACCCAGACAACTTATTGGTCTAGAACGTTATGCAAATTCTTAGTAGAAAGCGTGGAAGTGCTCTAATTAAATACCTTATAAATAAATCACATTTATCTTAACAAAACTAAAATTAACTGATTACACGGGAAATAGTGCTCTTTTCTCTTCTTTGCTACACAACTGCCAAGTAAAGCCAACTTTGTTTTACAACTTCCTTTTCAAGATTGCATTGCAAAGCGTCTTTCAACGGGTTCTGCGAAACGTACCTCGAGACATACGGAAAAGCTGCCGGTAAAATTTTCCCAAAACCATTGGCTTTTTTCACTTGAAAACTTTTATCCACTTTGTAGGATTTGATGTACAGAACGTGTCCGAAGCGTTTTTCCGCTATGAAACGGAAAATGAAGTTCGGGAGAATAATTTGCTTTATTTCGGGTTCTCTTCGGACAAGGACGTTGACCAAGCTTTTCCTGAACTCGACAAACTTCGATGCGAACGTCTATACCCTCATGTCTGCTATCCGGCGTGCGCTTCCAGAGGTTGCAGAGAATACCTCATCTATTAAAAGTTTTTAGAATACCGTTGCAAACGTTCAGCTGGTAAACTTTCCAAATATTTGTCCAGAAGAACCGTTGTCTAAACGTGGCGAAATGTATTGCGGGCCACATTCTCTTGCTGCACAACTGGCGAATATTCCAACAAACAAAGAAAGGTCACGCTGCAACATGCTGCAGCTAGCGCATTTCATCTTCAAGGTAAACTTTCTGTATTGGTGCAAGAATCGTACTTTTATCCGATTATTCTTGCAGCGTCTGACCGGGTTTTGAAAAACTTTTGCGCTGATGAAGTGACGCTTCCCGGCGAAACAGTGGAAGTAGAAATCATGAACGAAATCTCAATGCCGGAAAACAATGATTCAGCAAGTGAACTGGTTTGCACAAAAACCTAGGTGAACCAAAATGCAGCCAGTTCGGTCACGAGGATACATATTTGTGGTGCGAGCGGGTGGTCACATCGACATGTTCTCTCCTATATATAAGTGCGTATTTACCTATATGTGATTCGGCAGTTAGTGACACATGTACCGAACCATTGCTTTCCTGTTACAGGTCTGAGTCTCCATCCCAGGTATTCCTTATACTGATTTCTTGGATGTATCAGGTCTTACAAACAGTTCCCTCATGCGACTGGCCAAAACTTTTTTTGGCATATGATAACATGTGCAATCTGGAGCGACTGAAAGCCACGCTTCAAAACTTTCGCTACCACCGCCATATGACGAGCTTTGGACCAAGGGGATGACGAAAGTAATCGACGGCTTCCACTTGGGCAACCACAAAGGCCATAAATGCCACACAAAGTACAATCCAGACCAAATCCGGGCGGCCTATCCCAACCTGCTCAGTGCTAATACACAGAGTTGTGAGCAGACATTCCGTTGGCTGGGAGCATTCCAGCATGCTATGTTCAAAATGACTAAGTACCGTCAACTCTTCTTTCTACACAGGATCGTTAAGCGCAGAAACTTGTATCTGGAAAAAGTTGCAGCCAGTACGCGCTCTGACTCACGAACATTCAGCAGATGATGATATTACTTATAATATGTATTTTCAGCTTTTCAAAGCATCAAACTGCTACAAAGTTTAAACTGCTCACTGCTGCTACTAATGAGGTAATAAAATTACGATCAGTATTCGCAAACGATGTCTCATGTCCTCAGTTTCTGTGAGCTATAGTACGCCTCACTAACATTATTTTCGAAAATACTTCTAACTACAGCAATTTTTGAAGTAACTTTTAGTTCAACAGGTTTCAACAGCAACAGGTAAAGATAGCATAAGAGCCCGAAGTCATATTTGCAGTGTTTCCTTCGGTTCCAACGGGTTCCAAAAAAGTTTCACAGGCTTAACTGGTGTCACATCAGGTAGCAATTAAACGATGTACAGTAGTTCCAACAGTTCCAATAAGTTCCAATAGAGTTCCATAGGTTCCACTGGTGTCACACCAGGTCGCAATTAAACGATGTACAGTAGTTCCATCAGTTCCAGTAAGTTCCAATAGAGTTCCGTAGGTTCCACTGGCGTCACAAAATGTCGCAATTAAACAATAATATATTATTATTAGTTTTCAAATCGCGACATTACAGTCATAGTTCTATTAACTACGGCCATCAGTGCACAGTTAAGAATTAAAAAAACAACCAAAATCAGCATTATCAACCAGTTTGTTCTTTCCCGGTAAAGTTCCCAAAACAGCCGCAGCGTTTCCTTTAATAATTGCGAGGCTAATACGCTGCTTCAAAAACGCCGTGGATCGGCCTTCTCCAGTTCTCTCCCTGATCTTTCGTCCGAAAAAGCTGACCATTTCTTTGGCTGCTTCGCCAAGCACACCCAGGGTTTCCACAGCGAAAGGATAAAACCAGTATTCTTCGCCCAGCTGCCGATAGTTAGATCGTTTCCGGCTTTCCGCTTGGTGTGCCGCTGCGCCCGCTGCCTTTGCTGACCGTTTAACATACGACTGCGCTAACGTGTCCGCAAAGGTTGCGTCCCATACAAGCTGCTTTCCTTCTCGCACTGGCACCAATGTCAATCCGTCCGGGCGCTTACCGTTGTCTCTGAATATTCCTTTAGGTTCCAGCTCACAAGGAATACCCGCTGCTACGCATCCCCGCTCCAGTATACTGTTTAATTCCAGATGTTGGCTCCATCTACCTTTGCTATACAAGCAGGACAGTCCATGGTGACCATCTGGAGTTACTTGGAAGCCACATCCCACGCATTCATGCGATGCCACAACTTGCAAACCAAATCGTAGTCCTACGGCAATTCTAACTTGTTCGTCATTTACCACCGTTCCCAAGCTAGCCGCCGGTAACGCGTGCAACCATGCCGCAGACTCCTTCTCGGAGGCCGCTAATAGTGCCGCCATTTCTTGCGGTTTACCGCTGGCCATCGCTTGTAGACGTAACTGGGAATATGTCCTTTCCACAACCGGACAATCCCAGCTTTTCTGAAATTTCCGTAAAATTTCGGGGGGCATTTCACACTGGTACGAGTTCAACCACTTGTCCATAGCCTGATCCAGACCCGATATCCGATCGACCGGGAGCATTTCCAGGCACACTGGCAAAACCGAGGATGCCGAAGCGATAAACGCGGACAAAGCTAGCTCCTCTGCTCGCCGTATTCCCAGACCACCCCGTCCGACCGGCAAGGTCATTTGAATCCAATTCTTGTCATCAATGTGGGCGTTGACGATAGAAGTGATCGCACCACGCATTAAAACGTCAAATTCACGGAGAACTTCGGGGTGATCGTGGCACTGGCTACTGCGGAGAGTGTGCATCAGTTTAGGCACGCTGAGGCAGTTTCTGAGGAGGTAAAGAGCTTGCTGGGATGGCAGTAGTTTCAGTCTTTGCACCAGTCTCTCGATCTCCTGAATTTTACTTTTCAGAAAAGACGGCACTGCGACCACCTTAACTGGTGCTCCTAATAGCGTGAGCGTTTCGCTATCCATAATCTCAAATTCAGGCCACTCCCAAACCAAGCGATGTTTAGCGGCTATTATTAATTTTCGCAATTAAACGGTATACAGTAGTTCCATCAGTTCCAATAAGTTCCAATAGATTTCCATTGGTTTCACAGGTGTCACATCAGGGCGCAATTAAACGATGTACAGTAGTTCCATCAGTTCCAATAAGTTCCAATACAGTTCCATAGGTTCCACAGGTGCCAAACGAGGGCGCTCTGAGATAGGGCGCTAATCGAACCCACAGTAGTTTCTTTGGGTTCGATTAGCGTAACCCTTGTTACACTATTCTCGCCAAAGAACGATGTACGAATATTTGCAGCAGCGGAACTTATGGAACCAATGGAAACTACCGGAACTAATGGAACTTTAATGGAATCCCCTTCTTACCCTAAACGGGTTAATCTATGGAGAGTACAAGGGAGTTGGCTGTGTGCTCGAGTGTTTACACGGGTTTTGGCTGCGTGCGCGGGGTTCGGGGACGGGTTTTGGATGCGTGCTCGGGTAAATTTTTTCTTTCAAAATTGCTTGAAATTTAAAAAGAATTCTCTTCATGCCGATTGGAAAAAAATTGGAATATGTGAGCGGAAACGTAGCGCTTAATTAGCCACCTAATAATATACGTAGATCAAAGACCAAACGGGTGGAGGTGGTCAGGTAGCGGTTTCCGAACAAAGGAGAATTAAATACGGTGGCTCTGTGTTATCACAATGGGAGCCGCATTTGCTTACCATGGAATGGCCACATTCGAACCGGAAATGATGCGAGGTAATCTGAAGGCCGCATTCGAGGCCAAGAACATCACCCCAATCCCTTGTGCCTTTTACAGGGTTGACAAAGGCCTGCCCGGATCGGAAGCCGGAAGGCAAAAAATTAACCTTCGTTGCATAAGTCGTTGAAAACAGGCTACGAGTACGAGCTGATTATAACTTTTAAAGTAAAATTCAAAAATATTCGAACACAAGCGGACCCAAGAAGGTCACCCGTGCACGTAGCCAACGCCCGTTTTTCCCAGTGCGCGCAGCGATAATGACTATTGATTTTGTGATTGTCACAACTATTCTACGCTGATTTGTTAACCATTTTATGATTTTTCACAATATCCCCATGGATGTAGCCAGAGTACAGTAGTTGGTGGCTATGGTCAGGCATGGGATGTTTTTGACATGGGCCGGGTATCGTGGACTTCGGCCGTTGCCGCCTGGTACAGCGAAATTTATTACTTTGGTGGTTGCGATGCACCGTACAATAACATTAACCTTACATGGGACACCTACACGCAGGTACTCGCTCTAAGCTAGATGTACGGATACTAATCATCTGTGCCAGGATTTTAATTTTCCGGGGTTCCGGTTTTAAGTCTATAGCAAAGAGAACAGCTAATCTCTTTGTCAGTTACACAGACACTGATATTGAACTAAATTTTCTGTTACAGTAAGCGCGTAGAAGTGCGTTACCACGGCACAATACAGATACTATACACTTATGCCTTGGCGGCCGGGGTACTGTTTCATAAGCAATGCTGTAATACGTAATACAACACTATTGCCGTTTAGGTGATGTGGGCAGACACTGCGGCCATCGGATGCGGACAGGCAATGTGTAACAACTACATAATCAGTCCCGGATCTGCCGGTTATACTCCCAAAGTGAAATTGTTCGTTTGCAACTACTGTCCTGGGTAAGCCAGAAGTCCGAGCAATAACCCGAACTCGAAAAATTAATCTTCCCAAATATATTAATTTTGACTAGCAAAAATAGAAAAGTTTGCTTTGTCTGCACTTAGGGGCAATGTGAGAATTCCCGGTCAAGGTTACGCCCAGTACTGTCCGTGGAAATCAGCTGACTCAGCGGCAAAGTGCTCCGATTGACCAAAGGGGAAAATGTGCGCACCCGGCGATTGTCTGTGTGCATAGGTAATGCTGTGACTGCTGTCTCCCCAAAACACTTCCGGCAGCAAGGACCGATCACCTCTTCTATAAGTCCATATTTAATAATTTCGATCTGCATTTATGCACAACTTTATCGCACGTGTTTTCTACTCTACCATAGTCTTTGCTATTCTACCTGTATATTCAGCTTCTCACGATTTATGTAGAATGTATGAAAACTTATTGTTGCTCATAACGTGAACAAAAGTAGCAACATAAAAAACGGTAATAAATAAACGTATCGAAAAAAATATCGAGTTCTCGAATCTCGAAATAACAATTCCCAAAGACAGTTATCTGTAGAGCAATAAAGACCGATATCTACAATTACGGTAATTCACAACATCACTTATGAGTTACTGCTTTTCCCTGGCGCAATGGGAAACCGTTGGTGTGGGACGTCACTGTTGCCGATACTTTCGCCCAAACCTACATAGGGCATACGTCAAGTGTTCCAGGAAGTGCAGCGGAAATAAGAGAAAATCATAAGCTACGGAAGTACGATGGACTCGCGGATCGCTACGTAGTACAACCTCTGGCTTTTGAAACTGCGGGAGCCCTTGGACGGCTAACAAAGAAACTTTTTAAGGAGTTATCGAGGAAGATTTGCGAATGTAGCGGTAACCCATGGTCGGGGGAATTTTTGCGCCAGAGAATCAGTATTGAGATACAACGAGGAAGTGCAGTGTCTGTCCTCGGAACTTTCAATGATATGAGAGACAACGAAGATGTTTTTTTAGCATTTAGATTGGCTGGTCGGGAATAATTAGTGCCCGATGTTGTAAGGGCGGGACGCTCCGCCCTCCTGAGTAGCTATTCGCTGTTTCTGGGGATTTCCACCCCGCACATTTCTGCGCTGTTTTGACGGATCTGCAGCACAGTTGCACTGGCTGCAGAATCCTTCCTCTTTAGTCTGGTGTTGCTGCGCCACGGTGCGCATTAGATTCGGCAATAAAGCCTCATCCGGGTTCACCGCTGTTCGCTGCCGAGGATACGCGTGGCGCCCATACGGCCCCGCGTTATAATGTTGTTTTTCTTGACAGCTTTGCTGTGATTTTGTTGACACAGAATACTGCACTACGATATAGCACTCCACGTTAGTAACATACTAACACCGTATTAAACGAGATTTGTATTTGTAATCTGTACTTGCTTCTTGCGCCTGTTGAATTAAGCCGGCCATGAATAAAGCACAATGTTATGTGTATTTCACAAGGTGAATCTTGCGATTTATCATGCATAAAGCGCGACTCACAATGCCTATACAAAATTACAAACCTGCCTCGGTACAAGCCAAGAATAAAAATTAATATACAGTAAAACCTGTGACTTTGAACACTCGCGTAAATTGAACACTGGTGTACATTGAACGGTCTTTACGGAACCGGCGCGTCTCGTAGACTATAACACAGGGGGGACCTCGCGTATATTGAACACCTCTCTAAAGTGAACATTGAACAAATTAGCTGGAACGGATCTAAATAGTTTCAGTAAAACCTGCGTACTTTGAACACTTGCGGTTCCAAATTTTTCGTTCAATGTAGACGGCTGTTCAATGTACAGAACAGCTGCCCCCAGGGGACCGCCCTTGGAGACAGTGTTACTGCGCATAAAGCTGCCCCTGGAGGCGAACAGACGCCGCCTCAAGGGGGACAGCCGCGCTAGCAAGCCTTTTTACGCTATTTTCGCGCATAACAAATCAAAAATCTTGTGGTGTTAAAGCTGTAACCAGCAAATGTCTAGTGACCTCCGGTCCGTTAACGCTTTTTTTTGTGTTTTTTCGCTTTTGAAACCAGATTCCGGCGCTTTGTTCATTTTCAAAAGGTCTAAATATTAGTAACTATTTAGATCCGTTCCAGCTAATTTGTTCAATGTTCACTTTACAGAGGTGTTCAATATACGCCAGGTCCCCCCTGTGTTATAGTCTACGAGACGCGCCGGTTCCGTAAAGACCGTTCAATGTACACCAGTGTTCAACTTACGCGAGTGTTCAAAGTCACAGGTTTTACTGTACTAATACTCGTATTTAGACCTTTTGAAAATGAACAAAGCGCCGGAATCTGGTTTCGAAAGCGAAAAAGCACAAAAAAAAGCGTTAACGGACCGGAGGTCACTAGACATTTGCTGGTTACAGCTTTAACAAGATTTTTGATTTGTTATGCGCGAAAATAGCGTAAAAAGGCTTGCTAGCGCGGCTGTCCCCCTTGAGGCGGCGTCTGTTCGCCTCCAGGGGCAGCTTTATGCGCAGTAACACTGTCTCCAAGGGCGGTCCCCTGGGGGCAGCTGTTCTGTACATTGAACAACCGTCTACATTGAACGAAAAATTTGGAACCGCAGGTGTTCAAAGTACGCAGGTTTTACTGTACTTCTCTACCGGAACGTTATGCAGCACTTCCCGTACCGGCGGATGACTCGTACTATCGGTCCGCATACATGCAGTCCGGCATTTCGGTTCGTAGTAATTGCATGATGACAATGTGCTCCTATATATCCGGTTGACAATTGCTGCCAACTGTGACATGTTCGATCCCAAGTTCAACTGCTTGTTCTCGATTACTTCTACATTTTCATCTTACCTAGAGTTTATTCGAACAAAGACACATCTGTTGCAGAAATTGCACTACATCCGTGCATTTCTGCGCACTTTGCACATAAGACTGCCGATCGATGACATGTTTTTGCCCATTTGATTGTAGTCCAGGCTTCCAAGTCCGGCTATTTTTAGTGATCCAGCAAATCTTGCAAATCAGAATCTCCAGTGACTGCTTGTTTTACTGTTGCCGTAACACCGTCAATATGCAACCAGTGCAGCCCCCAATCCCAAAACTGCAAAACTCCACAGACTTCTAACATTCGTAAAGAAAACTGCGCGGTTCGCAGTAAACAAGGTCCGACAAATTTTCAGCGTCAGGCTCATACAAAAAAGAAAGATTTCTATAAAGCTCATATAAAAAATAAAGTGCAGTGAAATTATTCACAATATTCTACGAGCAGTCTACAGAACGTGTGATAAGTACTATTCATAATCGAGAAATTCCTCTTACACCACATTATTTTCGTTTTCTGCCACGCCGCGACCACTTCTTTGGGCAGCATCAGATCCTCAATTTTCGCGCATTTTTCCCGACCGTCAACTTCCACCACGTGCAGCCCGCCGCGCCGGTGACAGTAAGTCATGTCTTTCGCCGTTCCAGATTCGAACAGAATGACCCGTTGGCCCCGCTGCAGAATATCCGCAGCACGAATGACGTACTCGGGGGATCTGAACTGCTCACCGCTGACGGTCTCCCGCAGCCACTCAACGACGACCTCCTCCGGTTCACAGTTCTCCTCCACTGTTTCGTGGAGGAGAACTTATTAATCGATTATAATCGCCGGATACCAGTCGTCATCGTCGCAGTCCGCAAATACTAGCTCATCATAGCTGAAAATCGTCCCTGCGACCGTGAACCGCACAGAGCGGCGCGGAGCACTGGCAAAGGGCAGCGCCGGCCTGTCCTTGCTGTTTTTGTACATGTAAATGTTCCACAGCTCCGTTGGAAGCAACAAAGCATGCTGGAAAAAAGCATGGTTATCTTGCGTTTTCGCGCAGGCGGATTCGCGATGTACGAAGACGCAGGATGTACCTTGAGAGGACCACTGGCCATCTCCGCATCAGTTAACAACGGAAAGCGCAGCTGCAACAAGACGCTGCCCAGCATTTCTCGCCGGTTGGCGGGATGGATCCATGTTTCGGCGCCTGCAGGCCTCGACAGCCGATCTGCAACGGCGTAGCTGAAACAAGCTTCGGAACATGGGGAGCTCGATTAAAAAAAGCGTTGCTTACGCCTCGACAGCCGTGTAGATGATGTTTTCCGGTGCCGCCAGTGTGTCGCGTTGTACAATCATCTGGAGAGTCCGATGGCTCAGTGCCGAAAAGTGTTCCGATCGGAAAACGGCTCCATCCGAGGCGTCAATCAGATCCAGGCATTTCTCCACAATATTGTCGAAATCCGGACACCACAAGTTAGCCTGCAGATGACAGCACAAGTCAAGCAAAACCAATGGAGCAACTGCATAACATCATAACCAACATTTTCCAGAGCCAGAAGGCAGTTGTCGGAGTTGACGTGGTCTACAATGTGGCGACAGCAATGATCGACGAGCAATGGGAAGTCGTATTTATCCGCGCAGGACAAAGTTGAAAATGCATTCTCTAGACTGAGATCACCCACTGCATCCGAGTATACATAACTACAAAAACCATCAAACGTCTACGCTCAGAGTAACGGTTACCAAAAAATGTAAAGAATCCACCAACCTGAGCATGTTAGCGAAGGCTTCGGAATGTCAGGGATTTCGATCACATCCTGATTATTCACAGCCAAATCCCCGTAGAACATGGCGGGGAACACATCACTGCTCAGGCTCAGAAACATCCTACACAGAATTCATAATGGCCATCACCGCAAACGAAGTACAGATTCATGGGACCTCCTGTGGCAATAATCACTCGTACTTATGTGCATGGAAGATCTTCACTTCGCCATGATCGCGTCCCACAGCGAACTGCACGTCAGTCAGTTCGGCTGCAGTTAAGGCACGCTGCATGCGACGGGCCACTCCATCCAGTGCGCCGCGACGTTGCAAATACATAGGGAAAGAAAAGTTGTCAGACATGCTGGATCATCCAATGAGCCTGCTCCGCGGATCGTGAGAGTTTGCGAAACAACTGACTTCTTAACAAGGAGCTTTGGAACAATTGTGAATCAGGACATAGCCAGTCAAAAAATCTGACTTCTAAGCCATGGAAACAAATGAGAAATGAAGGCGACGTCGTCAGGAAGCCAAATGTTCGTAAAATTTAAAGGAGAAAAATGGAAGTTCGTAGACATTTATGATGCTAAGCAGCGCAATACTGCTGTCACCGGAAGTCGCAACCGGAAATGGATATCAACGCCACCCGTGGGGGTGAGCTCTGCGCTTATTCTGCGTATATGGCATACCTACCGTGCCATCGTGTGCGTAATTGTGCCTCCAGTAACGTTGTCCACTGTCCGGTGGGGCAGTGATCTGCCTCCCACCCGAAGCGGCAGTGTGTTACAGAAAAGCCATTCAATCTCGTACAATCAGCTGTTGCGACTACGCCTGGAGTTTTTCAACTTTCTGGAGATAGCAG